GTGCTCAATAAATGGTGACTATTACCAATACATAGTTTTCAAAAATGATAAGAGTATATTCTAGAGTGAATATCTTTAAATGTCCAAAATGAAAATAAGAATAATTTTAAATTATGTGTGGAATTCTACAATAAAAATATTCTCTATATTATCAGTTTGTACAGAATTGTACAGTTGAAACCTATATAATTTTATAAATATATAAAATAACTAGGTGTTGATGTATCCATTTCAAAGAAATATACATGAAATGTTACAATCATCAGAGCCCCATGTTATCTGAGTGAGCACAAAACCTGGATTATCTCTTCCATAAAATTTAGATTTACACCCCACTTAAATGGAAGTTAGAGTTCCAGTTACCTCAAATCCAGTTGCAAACAAAAACAAGTGTAGAAACGCTTGAAAGCAATGGAGCTGTTTGTGAGTCTCTCACAGTTCTTATTATAATAAACTAGAGGTCTGGTGCATGAATTCATGCACGGGTGGGGTCCTTTGGCCTGGCTAGTAATAGGGGCTGATGGGGGCCACAGGAGGTAGGCCAGCCAGCCAGATTAGGGCCATTGGGGCAGACAGACCAGGGGTCGGGGCACGTGAGGTTGGCTGTGGGAGTGCATTAACCACTGGAAGAAGGTCCTGTGTTGAGCGTCTGCTCCCTGGTGGTCACTGAACATCATATCAACAGGTTGACGCTTAGGCTTTTATATATATAGGTTCAGGTCTATGAGTTCCCAGCCCATAAATTAGAATGTGATCATTGGAAAGGAAAAAAGGGGTGATTTGTTAAAAGTAGATAAACACTGACACCAGAAAAAAACAAAACAATTAGAACGATGACAGACTGATGAATAGGGAGAATACATAAAAGGAGTTCAAAGCAGAGGCTACCTAGAATAAAACTCAAATCTTGGCTCATCTGTTCTACAGGCAAACAGAGACAAACACTAAATTACAACACTGTACAACCTGCAGTGATAAACCTGAGCCACTTTAAAAAGGGTTTATTTCACAATCATTTATTTAAGAAGGAAGAGAAATTTTAGGGCTAATTCCTAATATCTGCATGAAGAAGCTCACACACTTTAAAAAATAGGGTTAAACAGAGGGAGTACAGGCTGGTGCACAAGGGTGCATTTAGCTAAGGGAAAAAAAAAAGGGATTAGGAAAAGGTGACAATAAAAAGACTTTTGCGGAGTGTTGATGTCAGCGCTGACTTCTGATAAGACTGCAAGAGGGTAGGCAGGCATTGTACACAGATAGATGGTGGCATTTGTGAGGGCCCATCGAGTTGACTCCAGAATACTACTTTAGGTAGTTCAGAATCTCTGGCATAAAACACAAAAGGTGGGGTGGGGCATAAAAATGCAATCTACCCCCAACTGCTGTGGCAGCCTCTGAGATATCACAGACATATGGTGAAAACCACTGCAAGATGACCTGTGAACAAACATTTCTATTAAAATCAGAACCTTCTTTGGGCAAGTTAAGTGTATCATTCATTTCTTCTAACAATGTATAGACAGATAGAATATTTTCGTATTTTTGTTTGTTGAGATTATTTTGCAGACCTGCTCCATTAATTGAAGTTTATATTGGGGGTGGAGAGGGAGTAGTTAACCAAACATTACTCCAGAGAAACTCAAAGCTTATGACAGGTGGCAACTATTCGATTTCCCCTAGTCAGCAGAAAATGTCCCAGTCAAGGTCTCAACCATAATTGGCCTGAGTTCTGAGCAGGGAATATAGAAGGATCATAGAAATACTGATCAAAAGTATGAGGAAGTTGGAAAAGATGTACTCTTTAAAAACCTAGCATTCTGAACTCCATCCCATCGATATTAATGAAAAAAAGAATAGAGGAATTAGGACTACTACAAGATCCTTTTCCAGAATCAAAGATGATGTCCAGAAACACCTTTTCCAACTTAAATCGTGTTATACAGGTATTAATTACGAGGATGCTATGATTAAGTAAAATAGTAACCTGTTTCTATCATTGAAGCACAATGCCTTGAATAAAACATCCCATAGACTAGAGATTATTGGTAATCATTTTAATGTTAATGTTTTATAAAATAATGGGCATTTAGCTGTTGCACTGGCAGGTGGCTATATTGAGCCCATTGCATATCACTTATATAATTCAACTAGAGGCCTGAAGCATGAAATACGTGCAAGAGTAGGCCTTCCTCCCCCTCTCCCCTGCTTCCCTCTCTCCCACCCCCCTGCTGCTGGCACAGACTTCCCTCTGGCATCCAGAACCCAGGCTTCCCTTGTAGCCCCGGCTTCATCTGGAAGGTCATCCAGTCTAATTAGCATATTATGTTTTTATTATTATAGGTATTCATATGGCACTGGAATGTGTTCTACAACAAAAGACAAAAATAAGACAGGATCCCTGCACAGAAGGTATACAAGGGATAAAACTATAGGAACAAAAAATTTAATCTTTAAAAAATTTGTTTCCATGAAAAATTCCCAAGTCTTGGGTGATAATCAATGAAATTCCTTAATGAAGCAGGTTTTGGAAATGGTATTAAAGGGAAGGTGCTCATGGGTTGTAAGAAAAGATTACTTTGTTTCTGGGACATGATGACTAAATGATTCTTGACGGATGGCAGGAAGACGCTTCCCTGGGTGTCAGAATATTCTAGGCGGGAACAAAGAAGCTGGGAAGTTTCAGAACAAGATGACAGCTTCTGCCCTTGAACTAATTTCATTTATTTTAAAAACTCAGTTAACATTGACGAGAATGTGGGCCTTTTCGGTTTCTAAAATGGAGAATGCTTTAAAAACAGAGATGAGAGATATCAAGATGAAGATTAAGAAGAATGAACAGTGCAATGCAGTACTAGGAAAAATTAGGAAAACAACAGAAATAAGGGGAAGAGTCAAAGGTAAAGACCACAAAACAATGGAAGAATTAATAAGACATCAAGGTTCATTAGGAAGGTCAGGTGAGGGGAAGGCTTAATATGAAATTTGTCTTGAGAGAAATTATTAAAAGATTTAAAGGTGTAATACAAAGGTCCCACTGAAGCAAAAGATAAATTTTAAATGATTTTGATTTAAAAAGGGAAATATACTGTAAAATATTTATTTAATAAAAATAATTTTATAAGCTATACAGAATTGAAAAAGTACAACAAATTATTTCCACTTTGCAAACAGCATACAGTACAACTTGCAAATAGTGTTCAGCATTCTGCAAATATGGCCACCCACCAACACATGAACCTGTTACTGTCATTTTAATAAGTAAAGGCTCCAGTTGTGTGCTACAGACTTCAAATTAAATTCCAGGGAGATGATGCTTTGGTAATGTGAACACTTTGATTATATAACAGTCCATTTTATTTAAAAGGATTAAATAAAATCCCTCAAGTACCACTCTTCTTTTGTTTCTGCGTAAACAATTCCCTATATAGCAAAATAAAATAAAAGATAAGAGATAAAATTCCAGGCTATAACTTTAAGACATCCCATCCCCTTCCCTTCCATAGTCAGTATTCTTTTCCTTTTCCTACATCCAAAAAGATGTTGAATGGAAAATGACCTATTCTTATTCTATTCATTTACTTTTAGAGTTCCTGCTTAAACCAAATATATGTCAATTTTGCAATCTTGACACTATTATTCACAGTTTAGCTGTGTCACTTGAAAAATATTAACACCCCAGATGAAAGCAGCTGACGAGGTTCTTTTCAAGATAAGGCAACAAAGTTGGCTCTAAAGTCCTCTTCACATCTCATATTCTAGCAGCCACTCAGTAGGCTGGCTGACTTGTTAATGTATAAATGTATACAGAATATTTTTTCAAGTACCTTGGAACTGGAATCACTAGCAGTTGTTATTTTAAGCAAATAGTAAAGATGATCCACCTTTAGAGCAAAGGCAGATTTAATGTACAAAATGCAGGAATCATCTCTATTTTGGTTCCTGTCCCATTGAAATAAAAAAGGCTCAGTTTGTGAAAAAGGCCTTGGAATAATCCAACTCCTAATGACAACCTTATCTTGGATACGAAGGACAAATATAAAAGTTATAAATGGAGATGAGAAGTTATTTTAAAAAAGACTTTTTATTTTATTTTGGAAATAAAAGGGAATGCAAAGACAGAGTGGGCTAGTCGTATCTTTAGCCCAAATTTTAACTTTTCATCATGAGAATATACAGGGTGGGGCAAAATTAGGTTTACATAAACACCCTGTATATTCAGTCCTTCCTGTGGAGGAATAAAAGACGAGGAAATCTACCAACACTTTCTGATTAGGTCTCTTCTCTCAGCTTACTAGCAGGCTTCAAAATGTGCCTTATTTTCTAACTGAATGAGCTTCTCTGGGAAGCATAGAATGATGCAAACATGTATTTCAAACAAAAATCTACACAAATACATAACTGGCAAGATGAGAACTGAGAACATTCATACAATGAATTCTTAAACATAACTTATTAGAAATAACACATACTCCTAAAAGGGCAGGACACCAAACCAGGGCAAATACTGCCTGTGATAGGAACAACTTCCATCTATAGAAAGCAAGTGCACATGAGTAACACAAAATAAGAATTAAGTTGTACAGAGACAGGTGCTGTTACAACATATTCCTGTCTTGACCTGTAACATCTGTGGCCCCTGTGAGACCCTGGTCTCAAGCTTCTGTCTAATCAGATGTAGAAGTGCTTGACCTATGAGACACCAAGCTCACTTGCCAGCAAGTATACAACACCATGTGCTGCTTGACTGCTCGCCATGACTTGGTGTTCAAAATCCAGTTCACTTCTGAATCAGAAAAAAGTCATCCTTAAATAAACAAAATTTCCTTCTGTTCCTCTGAACACGATTATGTTACGCTGGGAACACAGGTATAGTCAATTGGCTGCTTTGAAGCCATGAAATGCACATTCATAAATATATGTTCTACACCTTAAAAAATTAAATACATCCAGGGACTGTGGCTGTGCGGAGTTCTTGCTATAAGTAGCTTGTCAGTAGTGAATTATGAAGTGGTTACTTGAGAACTTGACTCTGGATCTTCCTGCTTTGTATATTTCTTCATAATAGTGACTATACCATTAGCCAGGAAAACCACAGCGATGAGTGCAAAATAACCTGCGTAGATCAGGAACTGAAGGGGGAAACAAGTCATGTACAGAATTATTAATAAGGAGAGCTGTTGTATTACACATATGAAAACATACTCTACAATTAAAATGAATTCAGTTTCTCAATAGAACTTTAAAAAGTAGTGTGCTTGCCGAAACCAGTTTGGCTCAGTAGTAGAGCGTCGGTCTGCGGACTGAAAGGTCCCAGGTTCTATTCCGGTCAAGGGCATGTACCTGGGTTGCGGGCACATCCCCAGTAGGGGGTGTGCAAGAGGCAGCTGGTCGGTGTTTCTCTCTCATCGACGTTTCTAACTCTCTCTCTCCCTTCCTCTCTGTAAAAAATCAATAAAATATATTTTTTTTAAAAATTAAAAAAAAATAAAAAGTAGTGTGCTTGCCCAATGTGCGAGGCACTGAAAACACAGAGGCAGCAGAGTGGGGTGGTACAGAAGCCTGATGCCTCCGTGTGAATCCTGTTGACACCCTTGACTAGCTGTGTGACCTTGACCGAGATACCTATTCTCTGAATCTTAACTTCATTTACAAAATAGAATTCTTATTTCCTACTTCACAGGTTGTTGGGAAGGAGGAGATCATGTATGTCAATGTTTATTAGCACCATGCCGATGCTGTTAATACTACTGTTGGTATTTCTGTTGCTGTCACTGAGTCATGTTCTCTAGCTTCAAGCTGGTGGACTGGTACCTGGGTATGACTAACAGGCCAAGCTCTGAAGATCAAGAACTTTGATTCTTCCCCAGAAGAGGGCAGTAGAAGGTCAACTACAGATTGGGGCAAATTAGGTTTCTAGTTGTTTTTATGGAAAATAATACAATAATTAATACATAATAATAATAATGAATAAATTGTGTGTTGCCCCACCCTGTATATTTCATTATAGGATTACATTTTATATGGATCCTCTCTAAGCCAACTTTTTAATGTGGCTATATAGTTTAGCTACATAGTCACCACCATATTCTTAAAATATCTTACTAAATAGACATAAGCTGGTTCATGGGCTCAAGAAGAGAGTAGCCCTAAGTTCCGAACTAGGTTTTTAAAAGATGGGATACGTTTTCCTATAGGAAACCTGTTAATCATGGCAGCTAGAGGTCCAGCACTGCCCACACATTCCTATTACCCCATATGTCTAAACCCCTAATTTTATAGCAGGATAGCAGGTTCTAGTTTCTGTCCTACCCTCTATCCTTAATGAAGCACCTAACTCTTGCAAGGTCTCGAGGTTTTTACTGCCAGTAGTAACTGGGAAACATAGTACTAAAGTAATAAGCTCCCCTTCTCTGCCCCCCCCCCTCCACCTTCTGGGGGCAGCAAACGCAGAGTGAGACAAGCAGGCTTCAGAGTAGATTCTGGTTGATATCCTAGCTCTGCACCACTATTGTTGACTTAGTGACCTTACCACTTAACATTACTTAACTTTCAGATTATCTTCTCCTTTCTAAACCTGACAACTCTACAAAACCCTATATAAAGTACCAGGGACGTATAAAGCGCTCAGTGCACATTACCCATTATTATGATTTCTCTTTTAGAGCTCATCAGTGAAAATAGTTAAAATTACTGCTGACATGTTGGGTCTTTCTATTAACAAAACTAATGTGGAAGTATGAAGGGAATGACGGAGAAGCAATTTTCTGGCCTGGGATGGGCCACGTTTTGATTTAATTGCTTGTTTTGCAGAAGTACAGAGCAAACCCTACCTACAGGCTCACAGTGCATGAAGGCATGTGCAATCATATGATCCCTTGATGAAGAAATGTGTTCAAATAGTCTTGGGTGTTTGTACAGGTGTTTTCTCAATAGGTCGTGTGTTAAGAATCAGAATGCTACTCATCAACAGCAAATCATTACTCTGGTATCTGGGGGAGGAGGATTAAGTAAAGAAAGGAGGAGACTCAGCTGCTAGATAAGGCAGGTTGCCCCCAACATGCTCCAGATAGCAAAGTACAGAAGGGGGAGGACTGACAGGAGGGGACACCATTACTTTTTATGTGATGTCAGTCTATACTGTTTGAATTTCTTCATTAGGCATCTTTCCCTGAGTCACCCTGATCAAGGTGTAACTTCTTCAGTGCAAAACAGCTCTTACCTGAGTGGTAATTTCTAAGCCAAGGCCACTGGCATCGACTACAATGAGTGTGAGCAGCGTCTGCAGGGCCAGAGCAATGAAGGTGTTGACACCAAACACTAGGGCATAACGCTCCATGCTGAGGTTTGCTGCAATCTGAAATCTTAACAAAGAACAAATAGATAAGATTTCTTCCTGGGTAGTTAAAATTTTAATTTAAATGGAAAGGGTAACCCCTTCTTTCTACTGTCAATCACCTTCACAACCAAATGAAAAGTATTTTGTTGCTAAATGATGCCAATCTCATGCAAAATCTGGAAACAGCGGGAACACACGTGAACTAAATGAACCTTGCCTAAATGCTTCCTCAGGAGAAAACAAACAATAGAGTGCTCTCTCCCATTTGCCTCTTTTCACTAGGAAATTTAATTTCTTTGTAAAGAAACCAAAAGTTTTATCCAATCACAACTTTTCCTAATGCTTCTTTGAATAAAATACATACGTTGCTATAGTGATGAGTAACATGTAGATGATTCTGAAGACAACATAGGACGCGTAGCACACCCAAATGTTACCCACGGTGTCCATGATGTACACTGAGGCCGCAATCAGGAGAGAACACAGAGATAGTGTCATTTCTCCCCAAGTGGACCAGGAAATTTTTATGTAACCAACTGCAAAAACGGCAACAGCACCTGCAGAATGAAAAGAGCAATAAATAAAGACTATTTAAAAAAATTTAAATCAGCTTAGGTTATTCCATTTTAAAGCTGTGAACTTATGTAGAGGGGGCTCATGACTAGGGAGTGCCTTGGAAGAAAGGCAGAGAATTGACTTGATGGAATAAGTGCTATAGAGCCGGTGTGAGGATGAGAGACTGAACCAGGGCAGTTGACAATGAGATGGGAAAGGAGGCCACAGACCCAGGGAGGCTGCTGAAGAAATGCGGCTGAGGCAGAGGCCATGTCCAAAAGAACCACTGCTCCTCAGCTTGGCACTGTGGCAGGACAGGGCCTCTCTCCTCCCCGAGGAGCCATTGAGAAGATGGCAAAAGGGCATCTCTGCCCTTTGGTAAAATGACTACAATGATAATGACAGCTGAAATGTACGGAGTGCTCCTGAGTGCCAGGTGCAGTTGTAAGTGTTTATAGAAATCATGTAGTCTTCCAAAAACCTTATGAGGCACATCAACAAATTAGAAAGGGACAACAAAATAAAGCAGTCAATGACACCGGCTCTGAGTTCAAATCTTAACCTCACTACTTACGATCTATATTACCTTGGGCAAGTTAATAACATATCTGTCTATGGTTTCAACTGTAAAATAGAATGGCAATTGCAGCTATCCCAGGAATTTTGTAAGGACTGACTGAATATACATAAGTTATAATATCAGAGCTCAAAATAAGTAAATCATTCTTTGGAGTTAGTTCACGTTTGGGAGAGGAGAGAAAACCTGATTGGTTGGTGACTATCAGAGGAATCTCCCTCCTGACTGCTCACCCAGCAAGGTGGAAACGGCCTCCACGCCTCCGTTATAGATAGCAGCATGGCGAGAAGGCATCACCTGCTCCCACAGGCCCTGGGTGTAGTTGATCACTTGAAAATAGCCGCAGGTGGAGAGGGCCCACCACACGGACCAGCAGAGCAGAGGCCGGGAGGAGTAGCACATCAGGAAGTCATTCCACAGCACCTTCAGCACAAGGAGCCGGTCTGGCTGCGGCTCCTACACAACCAAAGGGAAGAAAGCTCAACCATCTGGAAGGCAACTGGACAGGAAGTAACTGAATAGACTTAGTATTTAATGTAACAGGTGTTACTCTTTTCCTCTGAGAAAAATACACAGGGTGGGGCAAAAGTAGGTTCACGGTTGTTCATACAGAAAATAACAATAAATACAAGAATGAACTCTTGATACATAGTTATAACATTTTTCTTGTAATGCGAACTTTTAAGACCTATTTTATTAGCAACTTTCAAATGTGCAATGCTACCATCACCATATTGCACATTGTATCCCCAGGACTTATTTTATAATTGGAAGTTTTTACCTTTTGATCCCCTTCACCCATTTCTCCTACCGCCCAATCCCAATCTGGTCTTTATATCTATGAGCTTTTGGGTTTTTGGTTGTGTGTTTGTCTGCTTTGTTTTGAGGTTCCAAATATAAGTGAGATCGTATGGTATTTGTCTTTCTTTTGGACTTATTTCTCGTAGCATAATGTACTTGAAGTCCATCTATGTTGTTTTTAAATGGCAAGAATTCATTTTTTTTCTTTAATCCTAAAGGATGTTAATCATAAAGGATGTTTTATGTATTTATTTTAGAGAGAGGAAAGGAGAAACATTGATGTCTGAGAGAAACATCAGCTGGCTGCCTCCCATACCTCCCCCAATCAGGGATCAGACACACAATCAAGGCAGGTGCCCTGACTTGAACCCGCAACCTTTTGGTGCACAGGACAAAGCTGGGATCAATTGAGTCACCTGGCCAGGGCAGAATTCATTTTTTATGGCTAATAACTTTTCATTATTATACACATTCTATTTGTTCATCCACTGATGGACACTGGGTTGTTTCCATATCTTGGCTATTTTAACTAAAGCTACAATGAACATGGGGGTGCAGACACCTTTCTGAGTTAGTGTTTTTGTTTTCTTCAGATAAATACCCAGAAGGAGAGTTGCTGGGTCAAATGGATATTCAGTTTACACTTCTATCAATAGGACAAAGGGTTTCCTTTTCTCCTTATCCTCTCCAACATTTGTTATTTTTCTGAGAACAACCAATCCAAAAAGTGTGTGTGGTTTTGATTGCATTTCCCTGCTGATTAGAAGCATCTCTTTATGTATCTGTTAGCCACGTGCATGTCTTCTTCGGAAAAATATCTATTCAGATCTTTTGCCTGTTTTTCAATTGGATTTTTTTTTTTTTTTTTTTTTTTTTTACTATTGAGTTGTATGAGTTTTTTATGTATTTTGGATATTAATCCCTTGTCAGATATATAATTTGCAAATATTTTCTCCTATTCAGTAGGTTGCCCTTTCATTTTGTTGACTGTTTCCTTTGCTATGCAGAAGCTTTCTAGTTTGATGTAGACCCACTTATTTTTGCTGTTGTCGCTTTAGCTGTTGGTGTCAGGTTTAAAAAATCATTGCTAAGACCAATGTCATGAAGCTTATTGCCTTTGTTTTCTTCTAAGAGTTTAATGTTTTGGGTCTTACTGTCTCAAATCTTAATCTAGTCTGAGTTAATTTTGTGTAGCCTCTTCTTTAAATAGAACCTTGACAGGGCATAATTAAGTCTTTACAAGTGAAAGGCCACTCTTTATTGAGCTCAGTCATGCAAAGGAAAATTTATCTATAGTTAAAACAATGGCTACGATGGAAATTTTTGAGAATAAATTTGACAAACTTATTGTCAAAATATGGTTCTATGGCCAAAACCAGTTTGGCTCAGCGGTAGAGCGTCGGTCTGAGGATTGAAAGGTCCCAGTTCGATTCCAGTCAAGAGCATGTACCTTGGTTGCGGGCACATCCCCAGTAGGGGGTGTGCAAGAGGCAGTTGGTCGATGTTTCTCTCTCATCGATGTTTCTTGCTCTCTATCTCTCTCTCTTCCTCTCTGTAAAAAATCAATAAAATATATATTTTTAAAATATGTGGTTCTATGAGTCAGAACTGCACTTTATTCTGATTTTCATGGCTAGTTCCTTTATGTTACTTAGGTATCAACTCAGACAATAGAAGCCATTCAGTATTCTTACCAATCATTACTTCTGGATACCACGTCACTTGCTAGCCCATTTTTTCCTTTCTATAAAATCAAGATCAAACTACCCATCTACCTACATATTCTTTTTTACCATAATTACTTCAATTATAACTTATAGTTCAGTTATGGGCTATTTGTCAACTTATAATGACAGTACAATCTCCAACATCCATATTTTGACTTTCCTTCAAGCTTGTAAAAAAAAAAAAAGAGCAGTATTTTAGGGCTATAAGTGCCAAGCAGCACTGCCTGCCGGTTGGGGTGCCAGGAGCAAAGCCAAGGACATCATGGTATGGGCTTGAATCCTAATTTTTACCACACTGTAACCAACAGGATGGTTCTGACTGCTGTCATCCCGTGAAAGACTTCATGGAGCACAGTATAGGTTGAAGTGCATCTCACGTATATTCTTCACCTATGTTCAGGAGTATATCTGTGTAATTCTACAGTCCCCATCTCTGATCCTGATCCTCCTCTTTAACATGAGAGGGCTGATGAAATCTAATGTCCCTTGTAATTTTAAGATGCTCTAATTATTCTAAGACTTGTGATTCGAATCACTTAAGTCCAAAATGTTATAATTATTCAGCATGCCAAGTATTCACATTTTGCCTATCTAAAAGTAACAAATATCAAATTGTTCTATGGCTGTAGATTTCAACTCATTAATTGACTAGGTTTCAACTCATTAGTGGTAATAAAATCAATTTAGTGAGCAACGATCACATAATATAATAAAAAATAAAGTGAATGGAATGTGTCAGAATAAAATGATGTATTTTAAAAACCATATATATATATGTGTGTGTGTTTATGTATATATATATAAATATATCCTATATAATAACAAGCTAATATGCTAATTAGACTGAACAGCAGAATGACTGTCCAGACAAACTTCTGGACAAAGTCCCCGCCCGAGGCGGCAAGGGCCAAGGGCCTCTAATATATATATATATATATATATATATATATATATATATATATATATATATATATATATATATATATATATATAGATGTTGAAGATTGTACTGTCACTTTAAGTTGACAAATATATACACACACATACCTGTGTACTGGTTGCTACATAAAATGTTTCTTACTAAGTAGTTTCCTGTTTATATTCAAAAAAGTTTAAAACTTACTGGTCTATAAAAATCTTTAGAGCTATGGTCAATATGTTAATATTTAAAAATATATATATGTATTATAGGTATGTATATACATATTAGTCTTAGCTAAAGCCATTTTGACACATTTGAAACAGATTTTTAAAAGGTTCTTATTCTTTTTTCTACATGAAATCTATCGAACAATCACTCATACACCTTTCCCTCCCTCATCAACTCTTTGTTGGCTCTCTGGCGTCACCTAACGAACTGAAGGAGTCAGCGTTTCATTTCTACTCAGTTCCTGGTAACTCTGACTGAAGCTGCCCTCACAGTCAGAGTGAGTTTATGGTAAGTGTCACCAGGCTCTGCAGTGTGACCTGAGCTCTTTGGGATGACAACCTACATTTCAACGAGTAACCAGAGTGAAGGCTGGGAAGGCGAAAGAGTAATTTTCAGTGAGGACATTAGATGCCGCGTTGGAACAAGCTGGGTTAACTCAGGTGGAGAGCCAGGCTCTATTCATGCTGGTCCTTTCCTCTCAGCCAGCCCACAAAGCCTGCGGAGCTTGGCTTTGTGCCTGACGGAACCCGTCTACAAAGATGGAATGTTAATAGGCTTGTTCACAAACACATCCCAGGAAAACTAAGATTAACTCAGTATGTTTGAAATGAATCTTGCCCCTCATAGCTTATAACCTGATAGAAAGATAAACTTTTATGAAAAGGGTGACTGACTGGTGGAGGCAGTGAATCTTCCTGTCTAGAAAGAACGGATGGATGAATTATTTTGATGCCATACCTCTTGTAAGAAACAATTTCATAGTCACACTGCTAACATTATTTCATCTTCTTAACTATTCCTTCTGATCCTCTTCTCCTGTATTATTCATTACTACGCACTTCGGTAAAGTGTAATTTCCAGCACAGAAGAGGACAGTAACTCCTATCCGTAAACACTTTGGCTTCAAGTCAGAAACTGGAAGTAGATATTCATCATTTGTTGGAATCATTTCACCTATTCATTTTGCAAAAACTTTTGAGTGCTATATTTATATGCCAAGATTGAAAGATGAAAGAAGAGACAGCCCTTGCTGTGGCTTCTAAAACATCTCTGCCACAAGCAACAGAATGCTGTGCCAGTCTGACCCTGAAGGTCATTCAGGCCAGGAGAAAATACATTTGTCATTCCTAATTTGTCACTCAACCTCATCTTGACTCAATGAATGAATGAACCGCCATCCAACTCAGGATAAAACCTGAATCCATGTGAACACAAGGGCTAGCATAAGGGGTTTCCTGCCTGATTTTTCACTGCTGGCCTGGCCCCCAGAGTAGCGACCGCAAGACATTTAAAGTTGGACTTACCAGTTCCTCCAAGGGAGGCTCCTCCACATTTAGAGGGATTTTTGACTCAACATCCTCCCACCCGGGAAGGTGGTTAGAAGCTGAGGTGTCAGTCACAATACTGCCATTTTGTATCTTGATACCATTCACTCCCTTGCAGGTAGAATGAACGTGGTGGAAAAAAAGGCTTTTCTGTGGCATAGGCAGAAACCAGGCCACGGCAAAAGCCACAGAAACACAGGTCAGAGAGATGACATTCAGGCTGAACAGGGACCAGCCTGCCACTGAGACGAGGATCTGCCCTAGGACTGAGCCCACTGTGAAGCCCACCAAGGTGGCAGTTCGACTGTAACTTGTGACTTTCTGGTACTTGCTCAGGTCCACCACACTGTAGATGTAAGAGTAATAGGCGATCTCAGTGGCTGTGGCGATGCCGTAGAAGAATTCCAAGAACTGAATGGCCAGCAGTCCCTGGGCGTAGAGCAGCATGAACCACGTGACGATAAGGCTGAGCCCTTGCAGCAGGATAACGGGTTTGTAACGGAGGTAGTCTGTGGCCAGGAACACAGGAAACAGCAGCACCAGGTAAGAGTAAGTCCATACTGGATAAATTTCATTGAAGACCTGACAGGCAAAGAAGGATAAAAACCTATTAGTGATATCAAAGGACCTGGAATATTCATAACAATTTATTCTTATAAAACAACCTACTACTACCTCAAATACCTTATCCTTACCAACCAAGAAATCATGACAACAGTTCTCAATATTGTTTGGAATATATTTCCCTTTTTCCACTCCATCTTTTTCTTAAAATCCTGCCCATTCATCAAGGCCTCGTTCTTAGGCTTCCCCGCCCTGGGAGACTGCTGACGCTGACAATCTCTGTGCCACAACACTCAAAGCTCTCTGGACACCGCTTTGTACGTGCCATCTCCCAGTTCCTCACGCCACTGGTTCTCAGCCGTGGCTGCACAGTTCCCGAGGAGAATTAAAAATTCTGGATGCCCAGCCATCGGCATTTTTTAAAAACCTCCCAGGAGATTTTAACATGAGTCAGATCTGAGAACCATTGCCTTATAGATCTTTAAGGGTGGACTCATCTGCACAAAATGTCCTACTGTTTAGGACATACCAGGCTCAATAAATGTCTTCAAAACAAATAAATGCCTTGGAATTACTGTCAATTCCTTCTTCGGGGCACAGGACAGGAAGCCTTGATTCTACTACTTGATTAGGACTGATTTGAATCCTCTAATTTTAATTAAATTTCATTTCTTTGGGAGCCCAGGAATAAAAGGGTTAATCTGTTTACAATCATATATATATATATATATATATGATTTCAGAGAGGAAGGAAGAGGGATAGAGAGATAGGAACATCAATGATGAGAGAAAATCATTGATCTGTTGCCTCCAGCACGCCCCCTACTGGGGATCAACTTCCTGAGCATGTGACTTCCTGGTTCATAGGTCTATGCTCAATACTGGGCCACAATGACTGGGCTGTTTACAGTCTTGATAGAGTATCTGTGGGTGGTAGAATTATGGGCAACTTTGATGTCCTTTTTGCTTGAAAAAGTAGTAGTGTTGATTATTTATTTTCAATGTATTTTTAAAATTGAGATATAATAGAAACAATCTTTAAAATAAGCATTAAACCATTAAGACTCACAGCTAGAATTTCAATTTCATCATTTGCTGTGTGATCCTAGGCAAGTTCTTTTAGTTCCCATTAGACTTAATCTCCATTACCAGTAAAAGAAGGATAAGACCTACACCATGGGATTATTGTTGCAAGGATTAAATGAGAGAATATGTGTAAATCACTTACTCCACTTTATTCATAGGTCTGAAGACTTAAGGACTAACATGAACATGCAGACCACTTGGAACAATATGAATTAGCTAAATTAACTGATCTATCATTCCATTCTTCCAATAACAATCATCATAGGAGACTTTTCCTTCCTCTTATATGTGCCTTGTGTCTAGCAAGATCTAGACCAGTCAGTTTTTAAAGATCATTTCAAATTCTGCATCAGTGGCCCCAATTTTTTAAATCTATTTTTTGTTAATCCTGACTCAAGGATATTTTTTCCCATTGATTTTTAGAGAGAGTGGAAGGGAGGGAGAGAGACAGAGAGAGAAACATTGATGTGAGAGAAACACATCACTTGGTTGCCTCCCTGACCAGGGACAGAGCCTGCAACTGAGGTACATGCCCTTGACAGCAATCGAACCTGGGACCCTTCAGTCCTTGGGCCGATGATCTATCCACTGAACAAACTGGCTAGAACAATGGCCCCAGTTTTTAAGTGCTATCTAAAAAGTTGTCTTGTTAACAGGCTAAATACTTTGCAATGGTGCACTATAACCCTAGACTTTGATAATCTAAGTTTAAGGATGACTTTCTTTTAAACTCTTATGCATACTTCGGTTTACCCAAGTATAAAATAGACTGTTTTAAGGTTTTAGAGGAGCAACAGAATAAACAATTATGTGTAATCTTTTGCCAGTGCAAAGCACACTATAAAAGTAAAACATAATACATAATACATAATACATTCCAGACTTGATTACTCTTTCTGCCTGGCCGAATACCAAAAGTGATTTGTCTAAGAGCCTCACCTTCATGAATTTTTATCTAACTTGTGTTTGTAAGTCACTGAGCAGCCTCCACTTGATCAGGAAATGTTCTTGCACCTGATCATGTGCATGAAAGAATAATCGAGAACTGTGGAAATGATTCTGATTCAGAAGTGTGGGAATTTTAGCAAATGAGGAACAAAGTACTCTTGGCTGGCTTTACCAAGGTGGAAGATGCCTCTCGGTAGAAAACCGAAGGGACCAGAGTAGCCTGAGATGAAGGCTGACTTTTCGCAGCTGTGCTCCACTAACAAGTTCCCACCACCTTTTTGACTGCAGTTTTAGACACTCTCCCACAGTTTTCTTACGTTTGAAAGTGCCTCCTGGGTTTGACTTAGCATGTTTCTTCACCTTCTCATTTCCCCAACTTGTTTTCCCCAACAAAGCACCACAAAACTATCAGCCATCACACCTCTCCTCTGAAATGCCCTCCGTCACTCCCTTCCATACCCCATCTTTAGTTTTCTCCCACCCCCCTCTGGACTCCAACTGACTTCTTCACTTTAGTTATACGGTCTGTACTGAAACTTTATACACCTTTCAATAATAATTGTCCCCAAGTGATTTCCTGCCACATAAATCTCACCCTTTTAATTAACGATTTAAAGTGTTTATACTTACAAGTCTGTTGCTATTCCCAGTATAAGACCACAATATAGATCATGAGGATGAGGAAAAGTAACATTGCCAGACCTGCAATGCCAAGTAGAATCAGAAACAAAGGAAAGCGGGCAGAGACCACATGGCTTCTCTTTAACCCGCTGTAAACAGGAACCCAGACCTTTCTCTGTGAGAGAGGATCCACCTAACATGAATGTCCCTCTCACAGTATGACCTGCATTAGAATAGCAAATCTCTACTGAGGAGCCGCACGCTGTGCTAATCACACCTACATGACCCCATTTAATCCAAACAACAGCCCCAGGAGGGAAATGCTTGTCGTCCCTATTTTAAAACTGAGGAACGTGGCCTCAGAGAAAGGTTACATAAACTGCCCCCCCAAGTTATCATAGGTCGTAATTGGCAGAGGCCGAAACTGGACCTAGATATTCTGAATCCACACTTCAATCAGAGAACTGTTTCTGATCATTTACTGTGTTCCAGAGTTACTTCTAATGCCTGCAGCAGCTTTTTTTTTTTTTTTTTCCAGAGAGAGAAAGAAGCTGGGGCGGAAGCGGGGGAAGGGGGAAGCAGACATAGATCAGTTGTCTCCTTTATGCACCCCGGCCAGAGATCAAACCTGCAACCTAAGTATGTGCCCTGACCAGGAAATGAACCCTTGACTTCTGGTGCATGGTGGGACATTTGACCCAACTGAGCCACACTGACCAGGCTACAGCGGCTTTCCAGCCTGCACTGAGGTGCTTGCACAGGGCATTCATGAAGAGATAAAGAACACATCTCCAGAGGTTAGCATTGGGTCTCCAAAAAAGGACCCCTTCTCTCTCAAAGCCTCCAAGGAGAAGCTGTCACACCAAAAATACTTCTTTGATTGAGACTTTGAATCTTGAAGGGGAACTTCCTACACAAATGGACAAGTTACAGGCTCTATTGTCCAGACCCTGGACAATGTCTTCTGCCAGGTAAAACCTGCCACGTGAGCAAAAGGAATGATTTTATTTAAGGCACCTGTCACAACTCTTGGGGTCAGGACTTGTTTGTGGCTTTCCTCAGATAGAAAGTCAAGCGGAAGAGTTCAGTTTTGATTTCTAATTCAGATTTAGACTTTATCTTAGAATCAAGTTCAATTAAACTAATTAGCATTTATTTGCACAACACTGATGCATGAAGATTACAAGAAAAAAGAATAAAATGAAGCCTGTTCTCCAAGAGCTGTGAACTGGTGTGGAATACACACACACACACACACACACACACACTATTGATCAGGGGATCAGAAATCCGGGGTTGCTTCTGTGAGATGGACCTTAAGGAAGAGGAAGTTGGAGGGGAACAGAAAGATATGGTATCAACAGATACCCACGTACGGGAGGCTCTCTCCAAGCTGAGAGCTCTCTTTGAGTCTAGACCAGGAGAGGAGACCTGGCCGTGCTGGCCTGAGGACTCAGATGAGTGTGGAAGGAGCGAGGGCAGGGGGAAGAGGGCAGGGGGAAGACGGGTGTAGGCAGTGGAAACTCAGGCTGTTCCAGGGTTCACAGCCAAATTCTGTAAGGCTCTGAATATCATCAGGCAGCGAAGGTGGAATTTTTTTTTTTTTAAGGAAATCAAAGGAAGATAATGAAAGTCCGTCAAATCACATGCTATTATAAAAAAGATGAAAGGATTAAAAATATTTTGTAGGTAAAGAGCACTATTTTATTAAATGTTTGTCTTTCCACTCTTGGGAAACAATCAAATTTTAACCCATTTAAAACTTATAAAGTGGCACCTAAAAGAGGTGAACATTGTTCCTGAAACGTAAGAAAAGAATGTTTGAGAGTCTGTCCTCGGGCATGGCTAACACAGCTCTGTTTAGGACGACGGCGTGGCCCTTCTCAAGTCTTCCAGGGGGAAATCCGAACTTCAACACACATCACTGAGCACGATTAACATTCACTCTGCCTAAAAACCACGTCAGACTTTTATTTCACTGTCATTGGTGAAAGCATGCACTCAGTCAGAAAGAACACATTGTTCTATTTATTTCAATTATTAGATTATTTTTTTAAAAAAAAATCTAGGATCCTGGAGAGGGCGAACAGAGCCACATTGCACACAACCAACAGACTCAGCCCTAATTCCAGAGTCCTCAGAGACAAATGACATCCCTTTTTCCAGACACTGGCTTTCTCTCCAAACCCTTATCTCATTTACAACAACAGAATGGTGCTATGGCTTTGTTACACAATCAGCAAGTATTTCCAGGGCCTGCCCCCTGCTTTATGCCTATGCCCCTGAACATACTTCACTCACTCTAGAAAGCTTTCTGGTAAGACAGGGCACGCCCCACAGCATGGAACACCCCACAGCAACTCCTTGGCCAGGGCACGTGACAAAACAGATTGACTTTCAAACATCAACACGGGCAGAATGTTTTTTGGCCCTGCACTTGGTCAGGCAAGGTACACACTGATCACATGGCGGCTCACATGAAACTTTAATTGTCAGCAGCTCCCAGCAGTATCACCGCTGCTCCAGGGCCTACACCTCCCACCCTGGCTGTGCAGGTGTCCTGACTCCTTCTCTCCTGTTTACTGCAGTCCTTTTCTTTTCGTAAAACCATTCTGCCCTTCCCATTTTATGACAGCATTACAATTCAAACATGGAATGCGTAACTGTAGCAGTCCCTGGTGGAGTGGAGTGGGCCCGAAGAAATAGAAGACCTGAAGTTGGGTCAGAATCAGTGATCCTGCCTAGAGGTGAGACTAGGAGAAACTCAAATGAAACCTTCCATCCAGACTTCAGCACCCAGCCTTCAAGTCCCTCATGGGGACCTTGGAAACGGAGGAGGGACACAATAACAGAGTGGGCTGTGAGTAATGGCAGCCTGCTCTGACCTGTGATGCAGGGATACCCAGAGGTGATGAATCAGGGCGAAGGGCCAGGTTTAGACAGGAGCGTGTCACAACAACTGGGCGGAAAAGGGAGCCTGGGCAACACCGGCAAGTGTCCACCCAGCGTTCCAGAAAGCAGCACCAGGCCTCAGCTCTCAGGCTTTGTAGCCTTCAAGGGAGAGCACGTTGAACCTGCTTGCTTCTGGTGTTGCGGGGTCACCCTGAGTGTCGTTCCTTTGTCAGTTACTATAATGTCTTTCTTCTTAAAAAAACACAAGTGTTGAGACTGACCTTAAGGTGTGAGAGCTGGAAGTCTGTAAAGCACACAGTGCACTTCTGAAGTATGGACACCCCCTCATCTGGGGAAAACCAACCAGAAACAGGTTCTTGATCACGCAACTGCCGGCTCCCAATCACTCTGAACATCTTAGAGGGACAGTTTTGCAAGATCTCACCGTGCAGTTGAGCAAAACTAGCATCTGTGAAGCAACCATTCACCATGCAAGAAAAACTGTAATTAAGGGCCAACTCTATGATACCATCTCAGTATCTGCTTTTCTCCCAGCAGGTGTGTGTATGTGTAGGGGGATGGGGGTCGGGGGCAGCATATCCATGGACACAGTCCCATCCAACTAAGAATCAAGGCAAATTGAGACGACGACGGGCTCTCGCTGCCCTGGACTGTCTTCATTGGAGCACATCCATCAGGTCAGCGGAAAACAAAGTAAAGATGGGACGGGAGGGGCTGGGGTAGCGGGAGGGCGGCGGATCCTTAGAGAAAGGCTGGGGTTACTCAGCATGTGGGTCCCCGCTTTCAGACACCAGATATCTACAAGACCTCCACCATGTGCAAAGTACAGCTTGCTGTGTTCACTTCCCCCCCACCCCTGAAAACATATCACCCCCTTCCCCCGCCAGCGCTCCCCCGGCCCCAGCTGGAGCTGCCGGCCTGCAGCACCCTGGCGCCGCGGCTCCGAGCCCGGAGGGGGAGGCGCGCCCCCAAAACCAGCGGGCAAACAGCCTGAGCTGCTGCGGCGCACGGCGCGGGCCGCCTTCCAACGGGGAAAAGTCACCGATCTGCCCGGGGAGGCTCCCGCCGCTGCCCTCGCCGCAGCCCGCCTCCCCCTCCGCTCCCCTCCTCCCGCCCCGCGCCCCTGCCGCCCGCGCCCGCGCCCGCGCCCGCCGCCCGCCGCGTACCTCCCGCTCCGTCAGGTTCTTGTCGGGCCCCAGCAGGTAGGGCGTGAGGAAGGGCTCGGACGGCCGGAGGCTGGCGAAGAAGCCGTAGGCGCAGAGCAGCGCGGTGGGCAGCAGCCAGCCCTCGCGCGGGACCCGCGCCGTCCGCAGGAGCACGGTGGCCGCCGCCGCCGCTGCCCGCCGGGACACCGGGCCGGGCACATCCATCCGGAGCGCGAGGGGCGGCGACCCGGCCCCTTCCTCCTCCTCTTCTTCCTCCTTCGCCAACTGAAGGGAGGCCCGAGCGTCGCCCCAGCGCCGCCGCCGCCGGCACCTGTCACCCCGCGCGGCGCCTCCTCCCGGCAGCGCCCGGCCGTCCTGGGGGTCGCTCCGGCCTCCTCCGCGCCGCGCCCGGAGTTCCCAGTGCGGCCGGGCGACGCGTGGCCCGAGGCAGGCACGCCCGAAGGCCCACCCTCAACGCCGCCGCCTCCAGGCAGGGAGCCAATCACAGGAGAGCTTTGGAGCTTGGCTTCTCTCCCATTGGCCGGTGGCGGCACGCCAGACGGCTGACGTCGGCGGGCTGAAGCGTGGAGGACGGGCTCCGGGGACCGCCGGGCTGTGGTGGCGGCGCCCCCCGGCCGGGCGCGTGGCCAGTGGGGCAGCGGGCGCGGGGCGCCGGGGCTCGCTCGCCCTCCACGCCGCCGCTCACCTGGTGGGACGCTCCGAGTGGATCTAATCCCCGCCGAGAGGAAGGCGCCACGGTCTCTCAGGACCACCGTCCCTCCCCGGTGCCTTTTCAGACTCTCCTTCCCCGGTGCCTTCGCGGGCAAGGCCGGGCGGAGACTGCCCCCGGGGCCGGGGCTGCCTCCCCGGTGCCCCGCGGTGCTCAGCGGCCGCAGAGAGGGGAGAAGCCCGGGGGCGTTTTCCAAGAGAACGGACCGAAGAAAGTGCGGAAACCATAGTGAGAGGAATGCACCAGCCCATCCTCTAACAGAGGGACCTAAATGGGGCGCCCATCGAAGGGGCTTAGCTCTGTCTTGTCACTTTTCGCAAATAGGATGCAAAGAGAACCAACATCACTGAATGCTGTAGCCTGTGTGTAAAAGGAAAGTGGGACATTCGGAATCGTTAAAGCAGTTACTAAATACTACCTATTTGTTCGTTAAAAAAAAAAAAAAAAAAAAAAAAAAAAAGACTTGGCACAGTCTCCAAGGGCAAAGCGAGACAAGAAGTCCCAGTCTTCTTTCACGCCGCTGGGAGCCTCTTTCTGCCTGACGCACAGCCCCGCTCCTACCCGGTCCTGCCTCTGCAGACCCAGCCCTACCGCTCAAAGCAATTCTCTCTGTGCAGCTTTTGCAGAGTAAGACATTTTTTTTTAAAAAAATCTCTATTTTGCTTTAATGTATGCTACGGCTCATCTACCTCAATTTTTCCTCTTGTAAGCAAATGACGCTTTTTGTCAAAAGGATACTTTTTGCAAACAGCTGCACACACACACACACAGTCTCTTAGATGGAACAATACTAGTAAAAGGGAAGAAGGCTGCACAAGTGAATGCGCCAAAATATATGACATAATTAATCTCTGAAGAAACCCAATTGTTGGTATTTACATCTATCAAAGAGTCTCCAAGTGTGGTGCAGGAAGCCCTAGGAGGTCCTTCAGATCTTTTCAGAGTTCCCCTAGGTCAAGCTACTTTCATAATAGTTGGAAGACTTTCCTTTTTTCCTCTAGAGACCACATGATGTGTAATGAAATCGGCACTCTAAAGGTTAAGAGAACGTGTGCTTGTATATTTTTGTGTTTAATTGGCTTTGGTCAATTTCTGGGTTCTCTGTTCTGCCCCCATTGATCTATAAGCTGTGGTACATTTACACAATGGAAAACCATATGGCTGTAACAAAAAGAAGGAACTCTTACCATTTGCAACAGCATGGAGGGACCTGGAGAGTATCATGCAAAGTGAAATAAGCCAGTCAGAGAAAGATAGGTATCTCATGATCTCATTTATATGTGAAATCTAATGAACAGAGTAAACAGATAAACAAAATAGATCCAGAGACATAGAAGCATGAACAGATTGTGGAATCTCAGAGGAAAGGCGGGGGAGGGGGTGAGTGGGAAGAGATCAACCACAGAATTTGAATGCACATATGCATAACCTATGGACACAGACAATAAGGTGGTCAAGGCCTCGGTGGTTGGTGGTGGAGGTGAGTTAAGAAGAGGTCAATGGGGTTGGGGAGGAGACATATATAATACTTTCAATAATAAAGATTAAAAAATAACAAATGTCCAGACTTGCCCAGCTGTGGCTCAGTGGTTGAATATCAACCCATGAACCAGGAGGTCAGGGTTCAATTCCTGGTCAGGTACATGCCTGGGCTACAGGCCCAATCCCCAGTGAGTTATGTGCAGAAGGCAGCTGATCAATGAGCCTCTCTCATCATTGATGAGTCTATCTCTCCCTCTTCCGTCCTCTCTCTGAAATCAATAAAAATGTATTTTAAAAAACATCCCAGACTTAATTTCTAATATGGCATTTATCAATAGATATAACCTACAAAAATAAAAATTTTAGGGTCCTCAAAAATAGGAGTCTTAAGACTAAAAGGTGAGAACTTCTAATGTACATAATATGATTATGTAGTCCCCTCATCATGACTACAGAGCGAACACCAGTGGTCCTCTGGGCCATTGCTTTGCATTAACATTCAGTGCTTCAATAGAAGGAAGAAAAGGAAAACCAGGAGAGGCCTCAGAAAGAGAAGGCCACTCTGTCTTTTGCCTGAGGCCTACAGTCCTGAATTGTGCTAACCTGTAAATCACTGGTTGTGAACCTTTTCCTTGGTATAAATCACAGTCACCTCATATCTTTGCAATTTTAGGCATCTATACTAACAAAAGGGTAATATGCAAATTGGTCAGGATGCCCTCACAGTAATGACCAAACAGTAGGCTGCGTGGGGTGACCAGGCCAGCAGTGGGGACAGTGAGGAGAAACCAGGCCAGCAGAGGGGGACAGTGAGTGGCAACCACACTGGTGAGGAAGCAGTTGGGGGTGATCAGGGCGGCAGGGGGCAGTTGGGAGTGACCAGGCCATGGGGGGGGGCAGTTTGGGGCAACCAGGCTATCAGGGGAGGGTAGGTAGGGGTGACCAGGCCAGCACAGGCAGGGGAGGGGCAGTTAGGGGCAACCAGGATGGCAGGGGGGCCAGTTAGGGGTGATCAGGCAAGTAGGCAGGGGAGCAGTTAGGAGCCAGTGGTCCCAGATTGTGAGAGGAATGTCCACAGGGATTGGGCCTAAACCAGCAGTTGGACATCCCCTGAGGGGTCCCAGATTGGAGAGGGTGCAGGCTGGGCTGAATGGACCTGCCCTATGCACAAATTTCATGTACCTGGCCTCTAGTTAACAAATAATTGTTCTTGAATTGGGTACAAACTGTTTCTTACTATTTTTATCCAAGAGGTCAAGGTAGGCAGAATTCTAAGATTGACCCTTGCCCTTGTAAAATTCCTTCCCCGTTGAATGTGGGGTAGAATCCAATTTAATGAGCTAATACAACTGTGATTGTTACATTATATGGCAAAAGTGAGAATATCCACATGGGCCCCACACCAGCCATTTCCTTCTAAAAGCAATGACTTTTCCTCTGGCAGCAGAAACGGAAGTTAGAGATGTTTGAAGAATGAGAGACTTGGTGTACTGGTGCTGGAGGAGGCTACGTGCCAATGATGGGGTGCCCTTTAGCAGTTGGGATTAACTTTGGCTGATAGACGCAAAGAATCAGGGATTTCAGTCCTACAGTCACAAGGACCTGAATTCTCCTAACAACCCTAAGAAGTTTGGAAGTAGATTCTTTCTCAGAGTTCCGGAGAAGAGCCCAGCTTGGCCCACACTTTCATTTCTTCTTGTGAAACTCTAGAGGAGCTACCCAAGCCCACTTGGAATTCTTCTGATCTACAGAACCGTGAGCTAAGTTATTATAATTTTTATGCCATTAAATTTGTGGTAACTTATGCAGCAAGAGGGAACTAGCACAGAGCTAAATAGACTATACAGGGTGTCTCCCCAAAATGTATTATACCCTTTAACAGCTGATAACTCAATTTTGAAAATGAAATGTGTTAATAAACACTGCCTTTCTAATTACTCAAAGTGTGTGTATACATTTTCTTAGGTCACTGTATATTTTACAAATTGAGGTAATACTCATATGATGAGATTATCCATTAAACTTATTTAAGTGTACAACTCAGTGGCATTTGTACATTCACGATGTTGTGTGACCATCACCACTGTCTAGTTCTAAGACATTTCACCACCCCAAAAGGAAATTTGTATCCGTTATGCAATCACTCCCTATCCTCACCTTCCCATGGCTCCTGGCAAACACTAATGTGCTCTCTGTTTCTATGACTTTATCTATGTTGGATAATATTCATACAAATGGAATCATACAATGTGAGACCTTTTGTGTCTGGCTTTGATTTAGCATAACATTTTCAAAGTTCATGGACATTGTAGTATGAATCAGTACTTTATTCCAATTAATGTCTGAAAAATATCCCATTTTATCTATATATCACATTGTTTATTCTTTTACTAGTTGATGGACATTTCGGTTATTTCTACTTTTAGGTTATTATGAATAGTGCTGCTATGAATAGTTCTGTGCATGTATTTCTTTGAATACCTGTTTTCAATACTTTGGAGTATATAAGAGTGGAATTATTAGCTCATTTTATAATTCTGTGTTTAATTATTTGAGGCACTGCCAAACTGTTTTCCACAGACCCTGCACCTTTTAATATTCCCACCAGCAATGTATGAGGGTTCCAGTTTCTCCACATCCTTGCCAAAACTTGTTATTTTCCTCTTTAAAAAAACAAAATCCATTCCAGGGAGTGTAGAGTGGTTTTGATTTGCATCTACCTAATGATCAATGAGGCTGAGTATCTTTTCCTGTATTTATTAACCATTTGCATGTCTTCTTTGGAAAAATGTCTACTCAAGTTTTTTGCCAAGTTTTTAATAGGATTGCTTGTCTTTCTGATGCAGAGTTGTAAGAGTTCTTTATATGCATATTCTGGAAACCAAAGCCTTGTCTGATAGATGACGTGCAAATATTTTTGCCCACTTTGTAGGGGTAAATACAATGTCAACAGACACTTTTCTCTCTCTGTGAGAGCGTGTGGGGATGGGTGTTTTGCAAAAAAGTAGAATTG